TAATGATCTTTGTAGACTTGTGATTTCCGTCTTGTATTTCTACATTTCTATTTCCACTTTAGCTGATCGAAAAAGGCCTGTGTGTTTGAATTATGCTTATGATGACCCATTAAAACATTTCACACTAACCACGTTAAATGTTTTTATTCAGTATTTCACTGTAAACTATACTGGATATTTTCCATTTCATTTCATTTCAAAGGTACTAATGATAAAAAAAAACGTTTAAAACAATTTAATTGGAATACTAAATAATATCCATAAAGCATTTTACACACATTGAAAATAAAACAATTAAAACCAACTGATGTTAGATAATCAGAGTTATTAGTTAATGTTTTACTTGGCGGCTGATGCTGTACTTCCTAAAAATGTATGATTTAAAACAGATGCAAACATTTAAGACCTTTAAAATATAACTTTGCTTCCTGCTTTGTTGAATCGAGGAAGAATTTGGTTTAATTGTATAAAATTTGTCGGCCATCCTGCTGCATTTATTCATGTTATCCCATGTAGACTTTTTTTTTAATCATGTCTGTTTGCAGCAGACTTTCAGAAACAATAAAGAAAAAGCAAAACCTGCGGCCGCAGTTGAGTTTCAGATTTGGAAAATGGCTTTGCATGAGGTAATTGTTTACATTTGAATATACTCCATGCATGAAATTGTGGACTTTGAAAATTCAAATATGATCTGAATATAAATGAAAGCACAAAGTAAAAAACAAAATGGTGTTCACACAATGTCTGCAAACACAAATCACTTTGCTTATTTTTGATTTCTGCTCTGCATGTACAATAATTGTGTAATATTCTACACAGAAAACTGAATCTCAACACAAAGCCTGCAGACATAGCAGCTGTGTAAATGTATAAGCAGGCCTTTCAGGGCCGTTCCTACATCAGCCTGCTGGGTTCTGATTTCTATACTATAAAATCAGATTTTATTAAACACAACAGTTTTGATCCTGGAGCCCAGCTGCTGGTTGCAACAGTTTCGTTGGGGTCGGTTTCTTTAGGGCAAGTCTTACTGAGGGCCCCATCCCTCTGCAGAGCAGTAAGAACAGGAAGGAGGGGTGGGGGCAGATGCATGAGGGCACCACAGGGCGATTTAGCAGTGTGGTTTAGTGCTATCGGTTCCAATAAATGGGGCTGGTGCTCGAGCCGTTTCACAACTTGACTGCAGGAGCTGTGAAACGGTTCGTACCATCAGTGAAACTGTGTGGTAGATTCTGAAAGTGAACACACCCTCATCCTTATATATGGACTGATGAAAGATTTTCCACTTTGAAGTTAGAAACTAGCCAAACCTCCCTGCCAACCTAAAGCCAGGGGCTGATTTTACCATGAATTTTTCAACATATATGTTAGAGTTTTGCCATGTTAAAGGAATAGTACACCCAAAACATGATTAGCCTTCATTTTCTACTCACCCCCCATGCTGAACAACACTCTGGAGTACTTTTTTGATATCTCAAATGCATCTGGAGATCTGGGAGGCTTCTTGCTGTCTGCTGACATTCAAATAACGGAGGTCTATGGCGCCCGAGACAGAAAGGTCCATAAAAGTCCACAAAAAACGTGTCAATATTCCTCCATACTGCTCGTCCAATGTATTCCAAGTGTCCTGAGTGGGTAGCATCCAGAATTTACTCGAAACGAAGTCATTTAGAATGTTTTTAGAGCATAAACAGTAGTGTATAGGATTTCCTGAAAGCGCGCGCCTGCGCGTTCACGACGCTACGGAAGCCGGCAGACCAAACCAGATGAAAGTGCGCATTCAGCGTCTGCTCTGCCGATAATGCAAGCGTAGAAGAAGAAATGTGCTGTTTACCTGTGCAAAGAAAGAAACAACGAAAGAAAAATGTCTGAGGACTTCAGTGTTGAGGAAGAGCATGAGTTCTTTGCGCACTTTCATCTGGTTTGGTCTGCCGCCGTTTCCGTAGACTCGTGAACGCGCTTTTAGGAAATCCTATACACTACTGTTTATGCTCTAAAAACATTCTAAATGATTTCGTTTCGAGTAAATTCTGGATGCTACCCACTCAGGACGCTTGGAATACATTGGACGAGCAGTATGGAGGAATATTGAAATGTTTTTTGTGGACTTTTATGGACCTTTCTGCCTCGGGCACCATAGACCTCCATTATTTGAATGTCAGCAGACAGCAAGAAGCCTCCCAGATCTCCAGATGCATTTGAGATATCAAAAAAGTACTCCAGAGTGTTGTTCAGCATGGGGGTGAGTAGAAAATGAAGGCTAATCATGTTTTGGGTGTACTATTCCTTTAAAGATGTCCTCCATCGCGTCCATCCAGTTCCTCAGGTTAGAAGGGTCGCCTCTGTACCATTTCCTAGTGGTTCCTTTCTTGGCTGCAGCTAACAGTATTTTTACCAAATATCTATCCTCACATTGAACATATTCATTTGACAGGCTACAAAAATATAGTTTCTCACGCGAAAATGATCATTTATAACATTTATAGTCTATATGTCCTGCCCGTATTTTTGCAGTTTTATACATTCCCAGAAACTGTGGATATGATCGCTGCTTTATTTTTAATCTTAGGGGTCGTAAAAAAAAAAAATCTCACCGTGTTTTTCCAGCAGAATTCCCTCCATATACTGGAGATGCGAACCACCACTGTGTTTAACTGGTCAGCAGCACCTTTCAAAGCTTCGGCCTTATCAACGTTTTCATGTAGTGCAAGTTAGTTTTCTTTTCTTTGAGTAAATTATAATAATTCTATAAATAAAAACTCAGGTTCTTCTCAATCTGATATTAAAATTTGTCTTAAAATGTAAACAATTTAATTCAGACAAAAAGGCAAAAGCAGGCTATAAAACTCTAGTTGGAGGACTTTACAATTCTGTAAAGATCCACATGATAGTAAATTTAAAAAAGAGCCAATAACTTATATAAAATATCAGTGCAAAAAAGTTATCTTGGAGAAAATCAGCAAGTTGATAAACTGAGGATATTACAGAGCAGAAACATAAGACTAGATTAGAAATTGCTATAAATAAATTAGTGTGTGACTCTCGACCACAGACTGATGCAAAAAGACGGGTACACCACGAGAAACTGTGTGGGTGAAGCAAGAGATGAGTCAAAAAACTCAAAGCGGACAGGATTTCCTTTAAATTGCAAGAGGGTGAGGCGGATCACGTTAGGCTGGCGGCATAGTGCCTGATGCCATCTCCCGAAGGTAAGCAGCGTTTTCTCCACCGAGCTCCTGATTTTCTTAGCTTTAGTGATACAGACTGTTAATGTTTATCTAAAAAAGGTGCAAGGGATTTAAAATACGTAAACCTGTCTAGTTTTTTTGTTTTCTAACCAATGTTCTCCAATACAACCTGCAGGATGAGATGATTAAAAGGACTTCATGATGTGTCTGATAAGAAGAGTTTTGTCATAGTTTAGAATAATTCTGATCAGATATGACTCCATTGTTTGTATCATTATCACTACATGTTTTTTTTTTTTTGTCTGTTAGGAGCAGAAATTCATGTGAGGTGACTTCCAGAACGCAACCTTTAGAACAGACCTTAGAGGACTATGGGGTTGGTTTTGGGTTCACTGGTCCGGCATCATCATTGGGTGTGGAAGGTTCCTCTGATGAACATTCATGTGACATTATAATGTCTCTGATCTACCCTTCCTTCCTTCCTTCCCTTAGCTGTTCCTTGCCAGTAAACTGCAACCTTTTGACCTGGATCCCACCCAGAAGCCATGGTAGCGTATGGGTCCAGGCGACTGTGCCTCCTCTTCTCTCTGCTCCTCCTCCTCAGCTGCCTCTCACCACTGGTTTATCACAGCTTCTTAACCCAGAAGCTCCATGCACAGCCTTCTCACAAGAACCTCACTATCTTGCTGTGGCACTGGCCATTTGGACGGTCCTACAGTCTCGGCGGGGACAAATGTCTCGAGATGAGCCATATCAGCCACTGTATTCTAACTGACGACAGGTCCATGTACCCGACCGCAGACGTGGTTGTTTTCCACCACCAGGAGCTGAGCAACGGTGCATCAGCTCTGCCACTCCACCTGCCCCGCCCCGCAGCCCAGCACTGGGTGTGGCTCTCCATGGAGCCTCCAGTCAACAACGCCAATGTCAAGAAGCTCAATGGTGTCTTTAACTGGACAATGAGCTACAGGCGTGATGCAGATATACCCATTCCCTATGGAAAGACCCTCCAAGGAGCTGGAGTTAAAGGCTTTCCAGGTGCTTTAAACCGTTCCTGCTTTGCCAGCTGGGTGGTCAGCAGATACAAGCCCAACCAGACCCGTGTTCAGGTCTACCAAAGTCTGAAAAAGTACATTCCCATTGAGGTTTATGGAGGGTGGAACAAGAAGCCTCTCCCAGAAGACAGGCTGCTGCCCACCATCTCAAACTGCCTCTTTTACTTGTCTTTGGAAAACTCGGAGGCGACGGACTACATCAGCGAGAAGCTGTGGAGGAACGCGTTCCAAGCAGGAGCTATTCCCGTGGTTCTGGGTCCAAGTAGGTCCACCTACGAGGCTGTTGCTCCGCCTCATTCCTTCATCCACGTGGCGGATTTTAAAGATGCAGCAGAACTAGCCGATCACCTGAATCATGTGGCTGCAGACAAGCGGGCCTATGAGGAGTACCTCAGGTGGCATCAGACTCACAGGATTGAAACCTGCACAGACTGGAGAGAAAGGCTCTGTCAGATCTGTCAAAAGTACCCCAATTTACCCAGCAGGAAGGTCTACCAGGACCTGGAGGGCTGGGTTAACAGCTGACACCATCTTCAGAGAAGCGTGCTAATATTGTGTAATACATGTTCCTTTGATCCGCCATGCATGTGTGGCAAACAGGAAGGAGATAGAGTGTCAAAATGCAGAAGAGAAAAGATTGGGTTTTACTTGATTTCACATGGCAGTGTTAGTAATAGTTTGGGAAGTATCTCAGTTAATCACTGAATATGAAAATGATTCACTGTCATTTGCTCCTGATAACTGCAGCTGTTTTGCACAAATGTAATCATAATAATTCATGAGTTTTATTTAAGAGCTCATATCTAAATGTTTTCATGTTTTCTTTATGGCGACCAAAATACCTGAGGTTATTCCAGCTCCGAACCACAGAGCAGTCTGGCGTCTTCTTTAAGCCTTTTTTTAGGAAAATAAAAAAAGAACTCTTTAACCTGAAAGACACGAGGTTCATTCCAGGAAACACGGCGTGACATTAAATCAGGCTGCTACTGAAAGTTTAGAGCGTTTTAAAATGGTTCGGCCAAAACAGAATGAGCTGAAAAGATTCAAAATGTATGAAAAAAATTAATATGACATCAATAGAAACACTGAAACACTTTAAATCTTTTAAATCATTTCACATCTGTGTGTGTGGGAGGTTTGTTTCCTCTCAGCTGTGCCCATATTCAGGGTGAAATGTTGGCTGTAAAGCTTAGCAGTTTATAATTTCCAATAATTTCCTCTTTTTCCCCTGATTTACTTCAGCCAACAGTAACTGGGGTTGGACGCAGCATGTTTAGAGCGTTTTCAGTCCGTGTTTTTTCCTCTCCAGTCCCACCTCTTGGTGAAATATTATTGGATCTGTAGCTTTGGGACATGTTATTAGGGGTCACTATTCACTGCGTACAGAGTAGCTACGAGGAGGAGAAGAGATACCGGATATGGCAAGCCTTTTAACATAAATTTGCAGCAGCACTCAGTGAATTTTAACTGGCAGCTGCTCAGATATATGTTTAAGTATAAGTTAGGAGACGGGTTGGTTAAAAAAAAATCAGAGATGCCACCGAAAAAATCCGTTAGTTACACATCCAGAGCTTTTTCAACTAAAAATGGCAACAGATTATACATTTATATAAGTTAAAAAAAGCTGGGCTTCTCAGAGGACTATTACTCAGAGTTAGAGATTAAAACTAACACATATCTGTTGTTTTCTTATTGAACAGAGAATCAGGCTGCAGAGCTTCTAGAGATCCTGAAAATGATTTTATCTGGTATCATTATATTGGCAGACAGGTTCATAAATCTGTTTTTTAAGCAGAGCACAGAGAGAAGTAGGGAGAGCTGCAGGCTTAAAGGTGAAAAATTTACTGGGATATGCAACATGCAATAAAATATGTATCCAAGTTTACAAGAAAAATATGCAATGCTATAATAAAATTCATCATATCTTTTTGTCTTTTTTAGTTCAAAGAGACTCTGAAATAGCTGAGCCAGCCATCCCAGAGACAGTCAGACTCACAGAACACAGACTTCAAATTAAAGTATAATAAACCTGCAAGAATTAAAGCACAAATAATGAAAATCAGGGTATAAATATTTTTTTTAAATATAAGGTTTAATATATAGACTTTGGCTGTTAATGACAAATTTCTAAATTAGATTTTGCTGCTTGTGAAGGAGGATAATCACTGATGCAGCTTAAAGGGAAGCCATGCATGGATGGATGGATGGAAGTGAAGTTGTGTCCATTCTAGGGATGCAGGATATATTGATGTTGGCATCAGATATCTGCTGTTATTCATCATTTTTTTATAGCTTAATGTTTTTGAGCCCTTTATAAACAATGCACTAAAGGCAGGCATCTGTCTATAACTATAAATACCACAAATGTATTGTGGTTCTCTTGTGTTCTCAACAATAGTAAAGCGTTCAATAAATATATGTTTGAGCTCATTTTTTGAAAATACAAACCTTATTGAAAGCGTTCGGGTTGAGTAGCTGTAGGTCCATCGGCCACCGCCCTTAAAGCGCCCACACCAACTTTTATCGGAAAGTTACACCCTTCATCATGATGCAAACTGTTATGATTAAATAGCACATTTCTTAAAGGGAAGGGTCAGAATGACCCAAATGGTTCCTCCTTTTGTGAAGAAGTTATCGTGCTGGTGGTGCCTGGTGAAAAATATTCATCTCTGATAATGATTATTATTATTTATTGCATTTCCAAGACTTCCTTTAAATCACCTCATAAAGACAGAGCAAAAATATAAGGTTATGAGCAAATTCTGGTGGGTCAAAGACTGCAAAAAATATTAAAATAAAAAAGTATTAAAAATAAAAATAAAATAATGCCAGGCAGAAGAAACACTTTGACAGTTTCCTTTCTGACATAAAGTGAAACCAGAACCTCCAGAGCTTGACCTCCATATCTCACGGTAGGTTCATTTAACGTGTGTTTGACTGGAACTGTTTTTTTTTTTTTAAATAGATTAGATTAGATTTAACTTTATTGTCATTACACAGGTACAGGTACAAGGCAACGAAATGCAGTTTAGCTCTAACCAGTAGTGCAATAGTAGCAAGTGCAGGATAAATAATGGTTCCATAAATACAGGAAATGGGTTTATACTGAATGAGTATAGAGATGAATACTGTTATAAATAATGAATATAATATATAGATCACTATTGTTATGACCTAAATTTACAGCTGGATCTGTACCGAATATAATATACATGTGGATATTACTATAAAAAAGGTTTTTACAGTTATGTACAATAGCATATATACAGCATATAACCAGAGATGGAAGTACAAATACTTCGTTACTGTACTCAAGTACGGTAGATTTTTGTGATATTTTTACTTTACTTTACTACTTATTTTTATGGCGACTTTTTACTTCTACTCCTTACATTTTTACACAAATATCTGTACTTTCTACTCCTT